CTGATATTTACTCATTGTTATTGAACATTTACCATTTTCTTGGCTATTTGGAATATACCAAAATTTCTTATAATGAATGCATTATAGAGAGTTTTTATTATTTATTTAGTGATAGTTTTTTTCTTTTATTTTTTTACATTCTAAGATGATGTTATGGAGTGGTGAGGGGGTGAGGGGAGGAGAGGGGGAGGGGCAGAAGGAGGGGCTCGGGCGTGGCCCGGCTCCTTTATTGGCCTGGCCGCCCACAGCAGGGCGGGGTGCAGGGCTGTGGTCTACACCCTCCACCCCACCCCCACTGGCTCAGGAGCCCAGGGGCTTCTGGTGGCGAAACTGGCCTAATTGCAGATGGCTGAGAGTTATCGTTTTTAAAAACAATAAAAAAAATACTAAGGCAGTTTTATTTCACTTTTCATAACCTTTGATTTTTATCTGATCTATTCAGTTTTATTTCATTTATAAAATACATTGAGAAAAGTAATAAGGTATTATTTTATTTTTTATCTGGTATTATTTTAATTGCATGTAAATTATTTTGTGCTCACTTGAACAATGGGAATGCTTTATTTGAACATCATTTTAAAACTCAGTATTGTTAACATAATACTATTTTTCTTTTCTTTTTCTTTTTTTTGACTAATTACAGTCTAGCTGGTGGACTGATAAAGTCTTAATTTTTAATGTTAAATATAAGCAATTTCAAAACAAACAATGAAATTTGGTCATTTATTTAAGAAGTTTTTTCCTTCCCTTTGCCTTTTTTTTTTCTTTATGTACAATCAGTATTCATGAAGCAGAATGAGAACTAGAAAAGAGTATTTGTTAATATGGCTTATGAAAATCTCAGGAGACGTGGACTCTGTAACAGTGCTAACCCTTTGAGAACACTGGAAGTTATAACAAGAAGCAGGAGAGAGAGAAGTGACACAGCTTTTGCCTCCTAGCAATTACTCCAGTTCCAGTGAGCTGGCGATAAAAACCCACAACACGTCACAAACTTATGGCAACTCAGCTGTTTCACAACTAATGTGAATTTTATGGGTAATGATTAGATTCCTTTTCTGTTAAAAGGAGGCCAGAAGTGTGCACTTAATAAAATGTATATAACAGATTGCATTTCAGGTTTGTTGCTCAAACTAACGAGACACGTAGTTTGGTTCTGCTTACCTTATACAAATAAATAACATTTTAGATAATTCCAAGAAAACCAGGTTCTTCTGTAAATAGTAGCATAGACTGCTTTTTGAAGGATTGTTGATAGTATACTACTAAAGCTTAACTGGTATCATTCTTTACATAGAAAAGTCAAAGCAAAAGGTTTTTTCCCTAAATGACACTTTCTGAGAGCTAAAGTTATTTTTATTATTTTTTCATCGAGAGATAATTGATATATACATATTTATGGGGTACAGACTCGAATATCAATACATGTAAACAGTATGTGGAGATCAAATCAGGATAATTAGTATTCTCATGTTTATAAGATGGTATCAGGGTGATGCTAGCCTCATAGGATGAGTTTGGGAGAATGGCTTCTGTTTCAATTTTTTGGAATAGTTTGAAAAGAATTGGTATTAATTCCTCTTTAAAGTTTTGGTAGAGTTCTGCAGTAAAGCCATCTGGTCCTGGGCTTTTCTTTGTTGGGAGACTGTTGATTCATGCTTCAATCTCATTGCTTGTTATTGGTATGTTCAGGTTTTCTATTTCTTCTTGATTCAGTCTTGGTAATTTTGTATGTAGTGAGAAATTTTTCTATTTCCTCCAGGTTTTCAAATTTGTTGGTGTATAGATGTTTGTAATAGTCTCTAATGATTGTATTTCTGTGGTATCAGTTTTAATGTCTCCTTTTTCATTTCTGATTTTTGTTGTTTGGGTCTTCTCTTTTCTTTTTTTACTTAGCCATGCTAATCGTTTGTCTATTTTGTTTATCTTCCAAAAAAACAACTTTTCATTTCACTGATTGTTTGTATCATTTTTTATATCATTTAGTCCCTATGTTATTTAGTTCTGTTGTGACTTAATGATTTCTTTCTGTCTACTAATTTTGGGGTTTGATCTTGTTTTTCTAGTTCTTTGAAGTGTAACATTAGGTTGTTTATTTGAAAACTTTCTATTCTTCTGATGTAAGCATTTATTGCAATAAACTTTCCTCTTAGCACTGCTTTTGCTGTATCCCACAGGTTTTGGTATGATGTGTCTTTATTTTCATTAGTCTCAAGAAAGTTTTTGATTTTCCATTTTATCTTTTGTTGGACCCATGGGTCACTCAGGAGCATGTTGTTTCATTTCTATGTGTTTGTATAGTTTCCAGAGTTTTGTTTGTTATTGATTTCCAGTTTTAATCCATTGTGGTCTGAAAAGATACTTGAAACAATTTCAATTTTTTAAAATTTGTTGAGACTTGATTTGTGATCTAATATATGGTTTATCCTGGAGAATGTTCTGCATGCTGATGAGAAGAATGTATATTCTGTAGTAGATGGATAAAATGTTTGGTAGATATCTGCCAAGTCCGATTGGTCTAAAGTGTAGATTAAGTCCTGTGTTTCTCTGTTAATTTGTTGCCTAGATGGTCTGTCTAATGCTGAGAGAGATGTTTTCAGGTCCCCAACTATTACTGTATTGGGGTCTAACTTTTTTTGTTAGGTCTAACTAATAGTGTTTGCTTTATATATCTGGGTGCTGCAGTATTGGATACATACATGTTTATGATTTTTATGTCTTCTTGCTGAATAGATCCCTTTATCATTATATAATGGCCTTTTTAAAACATGGTTTTTGGTTTAAAGTCTATCTTATTTGATATAAGAATAGCTATTCCTGCTTGTTTTGGGTTTCCATTTGCATTGTATATCTTTTTCCATCCCTTCACTATTAGTCTGTGGGCATCTTTACAGGTCAGGTGAGTCTCTTTTTTTAATCCAATCAGTCAGTCTGTGTCTTTTGAGTGGGAAATTTAGCCCATTTACATTTAGGTTTGTTATTGAGAGGTACTGTCTTACTCTTATTTAATTATTTTTCCTATGGTGATTTAAATGTCTTTTGTTCCTTTCTTTCCCTTTCATTGTTTGTCTTCAGTTTTCATTGTCTTTAAGGTTTATAGGCAAATTGAGCTAGAAAATAACTCCTCAGAGGTGTGGCAACTGTTCCTTAGAGATAGGGACCAGTATGGTCATAGCTGCAGTTAAAATGTTGATATACTTCCATAATGGTCAGTAGCTGCTACCCTGAGCTACTCTTGTGTCCGTCATGCTTTCTGTTGTCCCCCAGCCCTGCTACTCCTTAGATCTCCCTAAAGCAGAGGGGCAATACCTGTCACCTCTGGGGGCCTTCGTTTTCCTGCTAACAGCTATGGCCCACATGGATCTGATTGGTCAGCATGTGCTAAGCTAATTTTTCATATTTTGAATATAACCCTTTTGTACACTTTCTGAATGATTTCTGTAGAACTCAAACTCAAAGTAATTTCACGAGTACTGTTAATATTCTCATACAATCTTTGAGACATATGCTCAATAGTCAAAATAAGAGCACATTTTTCTCTAATTAATATTTTTATGCAAACTTTGAGGCAAATGATTGCTATTGATATTATTGATTAATTAGAAAGCACTCTGGTAGCATTGTGGCCTTTATTTCAGGTCTTTGTGGCTAAGTGAAATTTTTAATGAACTATCAGGAATTTATACATAGAGGCTTCAATACTCATGAGAGAAAAAAATGAAAGAGATATCTTGTTCAGAGGCTTCTGATGACTTGAAAAGTTAAATGAGTTTCTTTTGTTGTTGTTTGCTAGGGCCTGAAAAACCTCTATTCAACTAAAAACACAAGAAAAAGATAACAAAAGGTTCCTCCTATGGGAAACAGAATAGAAGCATACTGTTACTCTTCATGTACAGTACCCTAACTGCTCATAATAGTTTCCTATGAGATTTCACCTTCTCAGGCCATGTGTGATATGTCCCCCTGTTGTGCTCTTGTGTCAAGATTTACTTGTATATCTCCCATATCCCACTGTGTTGCAATTACCCATTGTTCCTTCTTCTTATTCCTCTGTGTATTTCTACAGTGCTCAGGACAGTGCTTGGCACTTGGAAAATGGTCCTTGAATGAGAAAGAGAGAGACAGAGAAAGAGACAGGCAGACAGACAGACACAGAGACAGAGAGACAGAGAGAGATGAAAAGAGTAATGATTTCCACCAAACTGAACATACTAAGTGCCATTACTTAGCAGTGGTCTCAAATGTGTGAGAAACTCTCCTCTAGTGGTGAACTTAGGACCACCTGCCTCTGCTGTGGCCTAGGGCCAGGCATTGGGCCACAGTAGAGGTTGTGCTGAGGTTGTGGGTCAGGAAGCTCCATAGGGGCCTGTCACCACCGTGACTGCTGTACTGTCACCAACCCCACCACTGCTCTCTCTCTTTCCCTGAAATGATTTAACACTGGCTTCCGCAATGTAAACAGGCATTCCAGGACAAAAGATTTCTATAATCAATTACCTTTGAAAAATGTCACACATGATAACCACTTCTTGGATATTCATTATGCATTGTTCCTTATTAAAAACTCTAAAAAAACCCTAGAGGAATGAAATCTAGCTAGGTTTGGGTAACCCAACATTTCCCAAGCTTTATTTGAATACGGACTACTTTTATTTCAAGAAAGACCTACTTCTGTCTCAACAGATAAAATCTGAGCAGGCAAAACTGACTGAATCCTGGCACTATTATTTGTGTAATTTTAGGAAACTTATGTAACTTTACTCTTTCTGAGTCACGGTTTCTTCCTTCATAAAAGGGAATAATAATGCCCTCCCAAAGGGCTATCATGAGGATTAAATAAAATACGGTACCATAGAAATTATAAGCAGTTCAGGGGCCAGCACTTAGTAGTTAATCAATAAACAAGAATTTTGTACCATTCCCTCAGATTCTCTCACATCCTATTTTCATTCTCTTGTCCTCTTTTTAAGCTAACTTTAAAGGATATTTTTTTTAACCAGAATTTAAAGAAGAAAAGAATTCCTTATCAGGAGCCCCCCCAGTCATTGTCTTTCTGCTTCGTGTTTGGCACAGGTGGGACACATCTCTCGGAAGCCTGATTTTTTCCAACCAGTTCATACAAATCATGACCACTGTCCCATCCTCTTCAATCTATGGATTTGGTGAACATGAACATACATCCTTTAAGCACGACATGAATTATGTTACGTACGGAATGTTTTCAAGAGATCAATCGCCAATGGTAATGTGTGAATAAAGATTTTTAATAATAGAAATGTGTTTATTGAAAGAAAAGGAGACCGTAAATAATAAGAACAAATTTCTTTTTCTATAAAATTCTATAAATTTACTTTCAGAAATCATATTGGTTAATATTCAGTCATAAAGGCAAGTGCAAAATTTTACGTCCACTCAGGTTTTCACCAATTTGCTTTTTATCCTCACAATACAATAACACATTTTTTTTGACATGTCATTAATTGCTACTAGGTTTCATTGAGATAAGATAATAAAATAATAATAAATCAGCAAAACATAATATTTCTTCTTGCTGTTGTAGGCATTTAGCAATCTCTATGGAGTTCATCCTTTTTATATGTGCATAGAGAATGATTTTAATGCTCATGGTGTTCTTCTTCTGAATTCCAATGCCCAAGGTAATGTGATTGTCTGGTTAAATTATAAATAAGCAAGTGCACAATTTAAATGCTAATTTTGCTTTTTCCCCTTTTAAAAAAATGCTTATTAATTAGAACTAAATAGAGTGAGAGATTGTGTATAATTTAATATTTTGTTTCAAAATGGAAAAATTATTTTTAGTGAGACATATGCAGGTATTCTAATAGATTGCAAAATACTACTAAGAAAACATAATACTGAAGACACAGAACTTGAGAAATCAGAAGGCATTTGAACAAGCAGTGTTAGAAATTTCATGCTAATTAAGTGTCCCTGAATCTGCCATATCATCTCAGCAATGTAAATGCTGCCAAGGCCCCCTTTCCGCATTAAAATTTCTAGTCATACTCGAAATGTGTTGCCTCCGCAGTGGCTTTTCTTAATTGTGTGCTTGGGGTTTAAGCTAACTAACTCTCTCTGCATCTTGTGTGTGTATTATAAGTACAATATATAACTGACTCGATGAACTCTTTACAAAAGTAAAGTGAACACACAGAGTTGGAAAATCATGGCAGACACTGAAAGGTTGTTATAGCTATGAGTAGTACCTAATATAATTAGAAAAGCAGCCTAGCTAGCATAAATAGAAGTATTAAAATAGTGATCTTTGCCACTTATTTTGTGTTAATTCTGTTCTTTGCTTTGTTCCCTCAGAAGTCATTCTCAGTCCATATCCTTCTTTAACATTCCGGACCATTGGAGGAATACTTGACTTCTACATATTTCTTGGCCCCACTCCTGAAAATGTTGTCCAGCAGTACACAGAGGTGAGGAGAACACTAACGTAATTAATGCTCATGTTTCCACTGCCCTGGCTTGGAGGGGAAAGAATCAATTAGCATATCTATGGATTACCCATTCTTCATCTTTCTAATCACACGGTTGATGGTATCTACATTTTTGCAAAGGCTCCTGGCTTGATGGTAATTTTATTAAATCAGGGGTTTAAAGCCTGGTGGAATAATTTAACCAGAATTTCCCTGAAATAAAATTACACCTTTCCAAAATATCCTAGACCTCTAGATTGAAGATTTTTTCCCTCTATTCAAAGCCAAATATCTTAGTTCCTTTGCTTCTGGTCTGTCATGTTCTGTGGCTCTTGACAATTCTCCCAAAAGTATTCAACTCTCAGCCACTTGGTTCAGTGAGGCCTATCAGAACTGAGTTTTGAGGGGTCAATGTTTGAAGGAAAACTGCTTGATAGGAAACAACTCATGAAAAATGCAGTAGTGACCTTGATTTATTCTCTGTGCTCATCTCTTTCTCTGCCCATCCTCTAGATTTTTCCATAGGTATCTTCATGTCTGTCCCCTCCCCTATATCTACCAGGCATTCTGTATTCAGATAGTACCCAACATATGCTTCTAATCTATTGCTCATCCCCTACCAAACCATCTTTCCTCAAATGATCTTTTCTCTTTAGGGTGAATTAGTCAAGTAGCAAAATTTACAGGGATGTTTGCAGTTCAAAATAAGATACTTGGCAACTCAAATGAATAACTGTCTAACAAAGTAATTACAGGCTTTATATTAGGTGGATGGGAAAGGACAAGATACATTTTGGGCTAGGGGAGTTCCTTAGCAGAGCTGTTTAAATAGTATATAATAGAATGCCTTTGGTTATGATAGTCACTGAATCTGACCAGTGAGTAATTAAAAGCTTAATGGCAAAAGCCTTTGCTATGATAATCATGGGAAAAGAAAAAGGACCCTTCCCACCAGTAGATTCCTCAGTTCTCTCAGAGACCACAAAATGACTGATGGAGGTTATGGGGCTGAGCTGGAAACAAGCTACACCAAATTTTGTGGCTTCCGGGCATTCTACGACAAGTGCATTGCTTCACCTGCCCAAAGTCTACAGAGGCTTCTATGTGGGGTTTAGAAAAGATGCAATTGAGAGTGGGAATGTGAGGGGGTTGCAGAGAGGGCTATATAAAGTTGAAATGATAGACATCCTCTTGTCTCTTTCTGCTTTCTGTCTCAGTCCTTCCTGCTCCTCACCCACGGGGGATGGGCGATTGGAAGTCCCAGCCCACCCAGAACCTCTGCCCTTTTGACCTTAAAAGCCTTTAGAATAGCTAGCAAGAGTGAGACAAAAATCAAGCAAACATTAATCTGATTTACCTGGTCCCCTGAACAACATTTTACTTCCCTGAAGAACTGATTCAAAGTTGGTAGCTTAAAAAAAATAGTTTTCTTTCATCTTAGCATAGTATTGTTGATAATATAAACTTCTCTGAGCTTGTCTGCTATTTCAGGGGACACGATGAGCTGGTTACATACATTTATGTCACTGGAATTTCAAGTAAGAGTACGTGTACCAGGTGGCTTAGGTTTGAATTCTATATCCACCCTCATGTGCTCTGTGATCTTGGGCAAGTTACTTAACCTTCTGGTGTCTCTCATTTTCCTCATCTGTAAAATGGGGATAATTATAGCGCCTACCTCATAAAGTTGCTTTGAGAGTTAAAACATAAGATACACATAAATTCCCCAATAAGCTCAAATAAATTCTATGCAATGAGCACTTTTCTTATTTCATTGGGCCCCTCCACAGCTTGGTGACTATTCTGTCTTTGAATTCTACTTGCTAGACTTCTGGAACAGTATTTCCTTGTTTTCTTCTAGTCCCCCTGGCTTCTTTTTCCTAATCTCTTGACAGGTATTTTACTCACCCCATAAATGTTGATATTCTTCAGAGTTCTGCATTCGTTTCAGGAAGGATGGCTATGCAGCAATGTTATCTATCCTGATGACATCACCTGCTATGCATGCACTGATGAATCATGTGTCTCCATCTCCAATACAAAGCTTTTTCCAAAATTCCAACATGTTTCTTTTTGTCTATTGAAAATGCATACTTTGGGTCCCACAGGCATCACAACATATTCTATACAGAATTATTCATCTGTTCCTAAAGTTCTTACTTGAATTAGATCTTCCTGTTATCATTATCTTCTGATTTAATGGAATCATCAGGAACCCAACCATCCAAACAAGAAACTTAAAATTTGCCTTCATTCTCTACAGCCCATGGGTTGAATCTATGCCTTTAGTTTGTCTCCAACACTCTGGAAAAACCTTCATTTTCTCTCCTTGGACTGCTATAATAATTGGGAACTGGTTTTCCTGCCTCTTATTTGATTTTTCTACAATTTATCCTTCACACTCTTGCCAGGGAGATAGTCCTGTCTTTCACTACTCTGTTAAACATGAAACCATTTTCTAAAGCAGTATTGTCAAGTAGAAATATAATTCAAGCCATATATGTAATTTAAAACTTTTTAGTAATCAGTATAAAAAAAGGTAAAATCAGGTGAAATTCATTATAATAATATATTTTGTTTAGCTTAATATATCCAAAACATTATCGCTTCAGTATATAATCAGTATAAAAATGATGAGGCATTTTACATTTTTTCATACTAAGTTTTTGGAATCTGGTGTGTATTATTTTATATTGATAGCACATCTTAATTGGGGCTAGCCACCTTTTAAGTACTCATAGCCACAGTGGTTCCCATACTGGTCTGCACAGTACTAAAGGATAAAACATCCAAATTCATTTGCTTGGTGTATTAGGGTTCTCTACAGAGATAGAATCAATAGGATATGTTATAAATACATGAGCGGGGATTTATTAGGGCAATTACCTCATGTAATTATGAAGAGAAGTCCCACGATAGGCCATCTCCAAACTGGATGCTGGTAGCATGGCTCAGTCCAAGCCTGAAGGCTTCAAAACCAGGAAAGCTGATGGCGTTCTTGGTGTAAATCCTGGAACCCAAAGCTGAAGAGTCTTGAGCTCTGATGTCCATAGACAGGAGGAAAGAATGCATCCCAGCTACAGACCATAACAGAGAGAGATTCACCTTTTTCTCTGTCTTTTGTTCTCTCCAGGCCCCCAGTGGATTGGATGGTTCCCTCTTCTATTGAGGGCGGGTCTTTCCCACCCAGTCCACTCAGGGTCTCATGCTAATCTCTTCTGGAAACACGCTCATGGACACACCTAAAAAGATAGCTTTGCCAGGTTTCTCAGCATTCCTTAATCTTATCAAGTTGACACCTAGAATTAACCTTCACACTTGGCTTATGGAGGCCCATGATTATTTGCTCTTATCTCCTGTCTTCAGCATCATCTCCCAGCAACTTTTCTACAAATTATGCCCCAGCTCTGCTGAAAATTTTCAAGATGTACTATGTTCTTAGCATTCATGCTTCACAGACATTATTCCGTTTACTATGAAGAACAACCCATCTTGTCTACTTGGTAATCTGCCATGTCTTTACACTGCCTTCTCTGTGGGGTCTTCTTAAGCCTCTACTTCTGAAGACCCAGACAACTACTCTACTTCCACAAGTAATGGCTCATCATGGTATTACTGGAAGTTTTCTTTATCCAGTGTCCTTCTGGTCCTATCTTTCTAACTAGTGACAGGTGATTATGAGTCTTCTCTCCAATTCTGTGAAGTCAGATATTGTGAAATTTATCATTGGTTGGCATAAGGACAAGGTATATTTCATCAGTTTTTCATTTCCTTGCTGTAACCTACAAGTTTATTATTCTGGCTACAATTTACAAACCTACTTTTTAAAAATAAAAACATTTAAAGCCTCACAAAATTATAGTATCCATAGTTGTTTTATATTTCTTCTATAATGTTAAAAACACAACAGAATTAACTTTGAGAAAAAAAGGCCATGAAGAATTTCAGTTAATTAATTTTGTAATCATTTTTTATTTAATTAGTTTTTCTTTATTCTTTAGCCATAACACAGGTGATTTATAATAAAGGTTCTAGCATAATGGGACTTAAAAAAAAAAAAACTTCACTTATTATTATTAAGAAGAATATCTATATTTCTAAACAAACATACCATTTGTGAATATTCTGAATAGTTTACAATGAGGTGAGGGAATATTTTTCTGAACATGTTTATTTTTAATTACACATGTGCTATGGAAATTTGTTCTCTGTGTCACAGTGTCAAATAATGGAGAAGCATATTCCCAACTCCCCTGCATTTAGAAGAAACAGCCACTTTTAACAGTTTTCAAAACATCCTTCCAAACATTTACTATGAATTTACACAAATATATTTGTATTTTTCTCTTCTGTATAAATGGGAGTATAGTAGGACTATTTTTGTGTGACTTGAGTTTTTTATTTACCTCTGTGTTGGAGATCTTTCCATATCAGTATGTATAGACCTACATCACTCTTTTGTTAAATCAAACTAAAAGTTTTGGACTGAGAAAGCCTCCATATTCTCATTCCTGAGCTCTTAGATACACACTGCAACCTAATTTAGTACACAAGCACATGGGCAAATTGAAAACCTAACTTCGAAGTGTACTTCTGTGACAATAGCTGAATTTCAGCCAATGGCAGGCAGCCAACTGTCTGTACCTCCCTTCCTTTTTCTGTACAATCACTTTCCTTTTCCTGTCTATAAATCTAATGAGCCATGCGTTTTTGGCTATAATATCTCTGGATCTGTTCTGACTCTAGGGGCTGCCTGATTTGCTAACTGTTTTTAATTATTTTTCTTTTCTTGCTCAGATTAAATCTTGTTAAATTCAATTGTCCTAAATTTATTCTTTTTACACTTTTTAAGTGTCACATATTGAGTGACATTGAAGTAGATTTCAATGTTTCACTATTACAAAGATGTGGTAACAAACATTCCCGTTCAAATGCCTTTGTGTATGTGTGTTTTTGTAGAATATGTTCTTACAGGTAAAATGAATGAGTAATGAATGAGT